AAGGGGAAGGTGTTGTTGGCCTTCCACTCGGGATACTTAACTTGCCCATCTTTTGACCTACTGCGTACCAGACACTTGTCCTGGCCCTCTGATCTGCCCTAACTTGTCTTGTTTCCACAGCTGAGAGATAGAGATTTGATTGTTTCTTCTGTTCGCTTTGTCTCCTTGAGCTGGAACGTAAGTCCCACACGGGCACCCACACCAGGAGCTTGCTCCACATTCACTGATGACATGAATGACTCGCGAGGCACGTGCTGCTGTTTCCTGAGTCATTACTGCCACGTGACTGCCAAGTGACACGAAGCAATGCTGAACAAGTAATAAAGGCAAACGCCCCAGAGTTTGCTTCCAACTGAAAGCTCGCCGCCCTCATCTCCCGGTGGGCGGGGGGAGTGGCTCTGGGTAGGGGTGACCGCTCACCCCTCAGCTCACCGGCCGCAGAAACTGGGGAGCAACCCCCCCACCCCGCCCCACGCCTCCAGTCTTTGGTCTGCAGCCTTTTGGCTGTTAACTACCGGAACTGCAGGACTGGGAGGAAACATCTGCCGCAGGGTTCAAAGGAAGCTGGGACTTAAAAAGAGATGAAAACAAACTTGGCGGGGCTGGGGGGCGGGGTGGGCGGGGGTGCGGGTGAATAAAACAGCGCAACTAAAGCTGGCTTTTTCATCCGAACAATCGCATTAAGAATGAGTGACAGCGAATGCAGGCAAGAACAAACATTTGTTCAGCCTACTGTTAGGCTCTTGGCCAACTGTTTCCACGCGGAGACTTAGGAGAAGGCCAGGCCAAGAAGCCAAGCCATCCCCAGATGGCAGACTGTGGGAGCAGCCCCCCATCAGCCTGGGCAAGATCTACTCCACTTTGGGGAAAAAAGAGAAACTGAGAAAACCAAGAGTACTCTAAGGTATTATTAGAAAGAGATTAGCACTTTTACCACAAATGACAAGAGCTGGGGAGAGGAAAGCCTAGGAGCCAGAAGTTTCTGGCGAGAACTATCTTAAAATCATACATTAACTAGGTGCACTGTTTCTCAGGCACTAAATCCATTTGAGAACACATACATCAATCAATCCAAAGGTCAAGTCTCTAAAGATCCTTTTCCAATGCACTTTATCTACCCAGTGTACTAGGTACAGAGCCAAAACCTACATATGTATGTATGCATGTATATTTCTTGATATGAAGGAAAAGGAAAAAGTGAAGCATCAGAAAAGAAACTTCTGGTTCCCAGGGCGCCTGGGTGGCTCAGTCAGTGAAGCATCTGCCTTTGGCTCAGGTCATGATCCCAGGGTCCTGGGATCGAGCCCCGCATCGGGTTCCCTGCTCTGCGGGAAGCCTGCTTCTCCCTCTCCCACTCCCCCTGCTTGTGTTCCCTCTCTCGCTGTGTCTCTCT